TGTCAAATATCTCAAATTTGGTATTACAGTACGGGAATGGATGAGGAAGGTATGATACAGGTTCTAGCATGACAATCATGAAATGCGTGTCATGTAACAACATGACTACATGCTACGCTCATGATGCGCTCGCGGCCGTTTCGCTAGCTTCACATGTACCAAACTCGGTATTACGTGACGCGAACGGATGACAAAGGTAAATGACACGTCCAAACATGATAATTGCATCAAACATGGCTGCATCCTACACTGTTGATGCGCGAGCGGCCGTTTCGCAAGCTTCACATATGCCTCACATATGCGTTTCGCAAGCTTCACAAATTTGGTATTACGTGACGCCAATGGATGACCAAGGTAGGTGGTTGGTTCAAACCTGATAATCATGAGATGCGTGTCATGTGAGAACTTGACTACATGCCACAGTCAAGGCGCCAATACATTTCGACGTGACGCGGTGCACGTGTACGGCAGCGTTCACTTCGTCGCGTCACGCCGTTGTTGCCACGCCAGGTGCCGGTCGTGCCATATACCCGCAGGCACGCACCGCGCTTCTTTGCTCTGACGCATGCGCGTTTCAGCGCGTCCGCTGTCCCGCCGTCACGAAAAGAGGGTGACGCAGTGTTGTCTGGGTAACACTTTGGCGCGAAATGCCACTTGTCGCATTTCGCGCCAATTGCCGTCGGGCCGCGCCGATGGAAGCTGGTCGCGCTTGGCGTCGGACTATAGAGTGCTCGCGTTTTGCTAACGTAGCGTTGCTGTGCCCAGCGTGAGCGCACGTCAACGCTACATAGGAGTATATTGGGCCCTTAATAATGCGCTCGCGGCCGTTTTGCTAGCTCCACATATACCAAGTTTGGTGTTACATGACGTCAATGGATGACAAAACATATGACTAGTGCAAACATGATAATCCTGACATGCGTGTCATGTAAGAACATGACAACATACCATGCTCACAGCGGGCTAGCGGCCGTTTCGCTAGCTCCACATATTGTCACGCACCAAAAGCCGTAGAGACAAGACAGGAACAGCGGGGCAGAAAGGCACGAGCGTGTATCTTCAAACGAAGCGCTAACCACACTTCTCCGTTCTCTTTGCCCTTTTCGGCTCGCTAGGGCTTGCTGGCTCACCACTCTAGGTGGCATTATTCCCCCTCCCATTTGAGCATCCACTCGATGCTCATACACAAGAGGACAGCAGGGCCTATAAGAAAAAAAAAAATAGATCGATACCTATAATGCACAGGTCGTATGCAGGTGCAAAAAAAATTGTCTGGGGGTGGTCATAAGAAAAAAAAAACATTAACACAGTTTGTTCGAGACCCAGCGGACAACGTAAAAAAAGAAAATGTTTGCTGCCCGGGCAGAATAAGGCGAGTATCACCGCGTAAAATAAGGTTTTAGGCGGACGACATGCGCAATCTCTGTTTGTGGTGAGTGGCGCTGGGTCGTTGCCGAGCCTCCGTCTGTAATAACGTCATAGTTGACCTCGTTCAACCGCCGTAATACTTTGTAGTACATGCTCAGGAGTTTTTAGCTCAGACCTCGCCATCTAACAGGAGTCCAAACCCACATTTGGTTGCCAGGTTGATAGGTGACTTGTCGATGGTGGATATTGTACCTACGGGCGTCTTCACATTGCTGCGATCTTATGTGCATGCGAGCTAATTGACGTGCTTCCTCTGCACTCTGAATGTAATCGTCGACATCAGGAGTTAGTAGCTCGTGCTGGTCGATGTCACTAGGAATCATGGCGTCTAGCATGGTTCGCACATCTCGGCCGTACACGATGCGGAAAGATGCGAACCTTGTCGTTTCCTGGGTTGCGGTGTTGTATGTAAAAGTTGCGTTCGGCAGGATCTCGTCCCACATTCTATGATGCACATCCACGTACATAGATATCATGTCCGCCAGCGTTTTGTATAGCCTTTTTGTCAAGCCGTTACTCGGGGGGTGGTATGAGGTTGTCTTATGATGGTTCGTGTAACTGAGCTTGAAGATGTCGTCCAACAGTTTTGCCGTAAATGCTGTCCCTCGGTCAGTGATGATGATTACGGGGCACCGTTATGGAGCACAATGTGGTGCATGAAAAACTGGGCGACTTCAGAAGCTGTACCACGTGGCAGTGGCTTTGTCTCAGCTTAACGCGTCAAGTAATCCATTGCGACGATATTTTACTTGTTTCCGGAGTGAGACAAAGGAAACGGTCCAAGGAGGTCCATCCCAACTTGGTCAAACGGCGTACGCGGTAGGTCGATGAGTTGTAAGAGGCTTGCATGCTTTACAGGTGGTGAATTACGACGCTGACATTCGCGGCATCCTTTCACGTAGCGTTTGACACAAGCTGCGAGTTTTGACCAGAAATATAGCTGTCGTACCCGGTCGAGCGTCCGTGAGTATCCGAGATGGCCGGATGTCAGCTCATCGTGGCAGGCTAATAAGATGTCATCACGTAGGTCTTGAGGCACGACTAGAAGATAAGATCTACTGCCAACACTGGTGTTTTTCTTGTATAATATGCCGTGTCGTAAGCAAAATGATGGCAACGTACGGGAAAGTGGACGAGGAACAGATGCGGTGCCGCCTTCTAAATGATCGATGATGGGGGTTAACTCGGGGTCCGCTCGTTGCTTACTGAGGAGGTCCGCCCCACTGAGAGTCCGCAGGAAGGCACTGTCGTCTTCTACAGCTGTATGGTCGGATTCCAGAGGCGCTCGTGATAGCGTGTCGGCGTCTTCATGCTTTCTACCATACTTGTATACGATGGTGACATCGAACTCCTGAATTCGCAGACTCCATCGTGCTAATCGCCCAGGGGTGTCTCGGAGGTTAGCTAACCAACATAAAGCGTGGTGATCAGTCACAACGTTAAATGGCTGCCCATAGAGATAAGGCCTGAACTTTGTAATCGCCCATATTACCGCGAGACATTCCTTCTCTGACGTTGAATAGTTGGTTTCGGCACGTGATAGAATGTGGCTCGTGTGGGCAATCACATGTTCGATCCCATCTTGTGTTTGCACCAGGATAGCTTCGAGAGCAATGTTGCATTCCTTCTCTGACGTTGAATAGTTGGTTTCGGCACGTGATAGAGTGTGGCTCGTGTGGGCAATCACATGTTCGATCCCATCTTGTGTTTGCACCAGGATAGCTTCGAGACCAATGTTGCTTGCGTCAGTGCGCACCTCTGGGTCAGCGTCCTCATCGAAATGACCAAGTACAGGAGGGGAAGACAATCGATGTTGCAGTTCTGCAAAGGCAGTCCCTTGTTCGTCAGTCAACAAAAATTGAGTGTCGTCACGCGTAAGTCGGATGAGAGGCTCGGCATTCTTAGAGAAGTTTTCAATAAAGCGGTGATAGTATGCGTAGAGCCCTAGAAATCGTCGGAGATTTGTTTTGTCTGTCGGAGCTGGAAAAGCGGCGACAGTGGCACTCTTCTCGGGATTAGGCCAAACGCCTGCAGTGCTCACAACGTGACCCAGGAACTTCAGTTCTTTGTAGCCGAAATGGCACTTCTCAGGCTTGAGGGTAAGGTCAGCGGATCGTGTAGCTCCAAGAATACTCCGAAGGTGACGAAGGTGCTCGGGAAACCTTTTTGAAAAGACAACAACATCATCAATATAGACTAGGCAACTTTTTCACTTGAGGTTAGCGAGAACGGTATCCATCAATCGTTGGAATGTGGCCGGAGTGGAACAGAGGCCGAATGGGAGCACTTGGAATTCATACAGACCGTCAGGAGTTACAAAAGCCGCTTTTTCGTGCTCATGTTAATTGACTTCAATCTGCCAATAACCACTTTTGAGGTCAATTGAGGAAAAGTACTTTGCTCGTCCCAGCATGTCAAAAGAATTGTCCACTTGAGGCAACGGGTACACGTCTTTCTTTGTGATGTTATTCAGCTTCCTATCATCGACACAAAAGCGAAGTGTTCCATCCTTCTTCTTTACAACGACCACTGGCGATGACCATGGGCTGTTTTATGGCTGTATTACACAGTCTTGAAGCATTTACTTCACTTGCTTTTGAATCACGCGTCGTTCGGTTGGTGAAACGCGGTAAGGCTGTTGCCGCCGTATAGGGTGCGCGTCGCCGTAGGTGATAATACGGTGTTTGGTAATCGATGTTTGGCGGATTCTCAATGAATGTGCAAAACAGGCGTGGAATTATATCAACAGGTCGCTAAGCCTTTATTTGTTTTTGTCAGAAAGCAATGGATTTATGTCGACGCCCCAGAGAGGTGCTTCGGCATTATCGGTTGCCTCGGAAGCAAAACCCTCAGTCAAATTGGTTACTGGTTAGGCATAGGCGATGACAGCACCAGGGAAAAGGTGTCGACGCTCGTATCTGAAGTTCGTAACAAGTACTTCGCATTGGCCAAACTGGAGGTCGACTAGGCTTCATGCTACGCAGACACCTTGGGAAAGGGTAAGGATCGATCGCTCTTCGCCACCATTTTACCGTGTGTTGATTTGTCACACACCACTTCAACCATAACACTTGAGCGCGGTGGTATCGTCAAAACATCGTCAATTACACGCAGACATACTCGATCGTGACTGGGGTTAAGCTCTCATGTGCCGCTTTTTGTTGAAAACGTGACGAGGCGTCGAATATCGATGATAGCAATGTGCTTCCTCAGGAAGTCCGTGCCAATGATCAGGTCTCGAGAACACTGACGGAGAACGCTCAAGCTGACAACGAAGGTAGAACCACGAATCTGCATTCGTGCTGTGCAAACGCCGAGTGGCGTGACGATGTGCCCGCCAGCAGTACGAACCGGACTGAGGTTCTAAGGCATCATCACTTTCTTCAGGAGAGCAGCCTGTTTTTCACTTATTATAGAAAAATCCGCACCCATGTCAACTAAAACACTGACTTTGCGACCGTCGAGCAGCACTGGAATATCTATTGAAATCTTTGCGGAACCAGCTGGTGTCGTCGTCGTCAGGGAATCGTCAGTATCGGAAGCGTCGGTAGGAGGCCTTGAGCTTGTCCAGTATGAGTGACCTCACCCCCGAAGTTCTCAGTGGTTAGTTTTCCTGGTGGGGACTGGATTAGTCCCCGCCGTAAGGTCTCAGTGGTTAGTTTTCCCGGCGGGGACCCTGCGTCATGCTCGAATAGGTACGGCGATTAGGAGAAAATTACCGCGGTGACGGGGAGCTTGACTGGTGCAAGGATGACGAAGTTCTGCGCAGCTGAGCCACATACTTTTCAATTTCAGGGGGCCACAGACTGAACCTGGGTGGCGGTGAGTTCGTCGAAAATCCGCGTAGTCCAAGTTGTCGGTAAGAAAAGTGTCGATATTGGTGCCCAGCTTCACCACAGTGGAAGCAGAAAGGACGTCGATCTGGCGCACGCCAGACGTCTGATTTCTGCGAAATCAGGCGAGGTGCGCTACAATATGGCTCCGCTTGGCCCGTCTGCAGCATGGCTGGGGCCACGGTGGGATTCGGAATTGCAGGTGTAACAGGTTGCCGCAAAGCCTGAGCATATGACATGCGGGGGAAGTCACTGGGTGGTTGATAATCCCGCATGAGAGGCGGTTCTCTTAGACATGCTGGGCTTCATCTCAGACAACGCTGGACAACGAGGAGGTAGTAGGCTCCGAGGGCACTGACAGCTTCTGGAGTTTTTCGCGGATGACTGAACGTATGAGCTCTCGGAAGAAATCCATTTGGCCACCGAAAGCTTCTAAGTATAGTCCGTAGTTGAAGCGTTGACGTGCCGTTCGTATGACAGGGCCTGGTGCCTAAGAGTGCTTTCCATGGTGACGGTTTCCTTGAGAAATTCTGACACAGTCTTCGGTAGACTGCGCACAAGCCCACCGAAAAGCTGCTCTTTCACCCCGCGCATGAGGTACCGTACCCTATTTTCTTCTGGCATGCCAGAGTCAGCTCGTTGGAAAAGACGCGTCATGTCCTCGACATACATCGCAACCGCTTCATTAGGCAGTTGTATGCGGGACTGCAGATCACGCTCAGCTCTCTCCCGACGGTCAGCGCTGGCATATGTCCCAAGAAGTTGGCGTTTGAAGTCTCCCCGTGATGTAAGAATACCTGCCTGGTTCTGATACCATACACGCGCGCCGTCCAAAAGACTAAAATTGATGTGCCGCAGTTCGTCTGCGTTGTTCCACATGGTTGTGCACGGCAACGAACTCGTAATGAACAAGCCAATCTTCCACATCCTCAAGTGCAGTGCCATGAAAAGGATTGGCGTTAGCGGTGTGAGTAAGGTGCATTGAATCGGCGGTGTGCCGTTCGTACCGATTGGGTTGGCGTCGGTAGGGCTTGTCGGAGCGGCCATGTTGTTTGCGAGCCATCCAAAGTCAGGGGACTGCCCTCGGATTCTTCCACTGGCGCGGTGCACAGGAGTGACACCGGTACGATGCTTGTGTTCTTGCTATGTGAAGGGGTAGGGTGTATAGATGACCCAGCACGTCCACCAGTTTTGTCACGCACCAAGAGCCGTAGAGACAAGACAGGAACATTTTTTTCATGCACCAAGAGGCGTAGAGACAAGACAGGAACAGCGGGGCAGAAAGGCACGAGCGTGTATCTTCAAACAAAGCGCTAACCACACTTCTTCTTCGTTCTCTTTGCTCTTTTCGGTTCACCAGGGCTTGCCGGCTCACAACTTTAGGTGGCAATATACTAAGTGTGGTATCACTTGACGTGAATAGATTACGAACGTAAACGACACATCCAAACTTGATAATCATCACACGGAAGTCATGTACGGCATTATTTAGCTTCATCTTGTAACGTTGTGCTGCTTTTAAAGTGACATATCAACATTTATCATTCGTGCTTCACATAGCATCGATTCCCACTGAACGTGGGATCTGCCAATATTTTTTTTTTTGCCCAGTGAATGCGAGCTCTCTAACGCTTTCACTGTCATCGCTCCACTAGAGTTTGTTTGTGTCATACCCATGTGAAAGCTATCAGCAGAAACTGATCCGCACGTGATCGGCGCCACGGTGGTGATGGAATGGATGACGTCGCTCACAGAGGAGCCAATGGCAAACTACAATAACCCATACATATATGCCCATACATGGAGCCTTTTTCTAATGAGTAAACTTATTATGCACGTTGGTGCCACCTATGCCCACGAGTAAGACTGCGTCCGTTGACCTTATTAACTTTAATTGTAATTGTTATTGATTACAATTGTGCTGTGTATATGTATCTATCGCTCCGTCGAATTCAACAAGAATGCTGAATGCTGGTAACTTGTTGTTTCGCGTTCTCACTAGCGACAAGGTACCACACGACAAATTTATAGCAAAACTTAAAAACATTCAGATTCCGGATATTTTTGTTTCTTGGATTGCAGCCTACCTATCCAACCGCGAACAGCTTGTAAAAATTAACGAAGAAGAATCTGGGTGTCTTCCTGTCACCACTGGGGTTCCACAAGAAAGTGTTTTGGGACCATTGCTTTTTTTGTTGTATATTAACGATTTAGTAACGGTTGTTGACCCTACTGTTCAAATTCGATTGTTCGCTGACGACTGTGTTTTGTTTCGGGAAGTCACATGTACTAATGATCAGAACGAACTCGAGAAAAACATTGAAAACGTGCGGGAGTGGTGTGTAGAATGGGGAATGGTATTAAATTTGGAAAAAAGTGTATATCTCTGTGTAACGAGAAAGAAAAACCCTAGTGAACTCGTGTATAAATTAGGATCGTCTTCTCTCACACAGGTTGACAGTTATAAGTACCTCAGCGTTACGCTAACAAACAACTTATCATGGAACATGCACATAGATAATCCATCTATGTGCATGTTCCGCCATAATATTTGCTCGTCTGCCTTTCGCAAATTATGCTTCCTAAGATATAAGCTCAGAAATTCCCCTCCAAACGTAAAGCTTCTTAGTTATTTCACTTTCGTTAGGCCGAAGCTGGAGTATGCGAGTATCGTGTGGGACCCCCATACTAAACAAAACGTTAAAAAACTTGAAAGGATTCAGCGGAAGGCCATTCGGTGTGTTTATTCTAGGTTTTTGCGAACGGACTCCCCCATAGACCTAATGCTAGCTAATAATATTCCTTCCCTTCAGGATCGTAGAAAGAAGTCCCGCCTTGATTTTCTGTCTCTTTTACATAATCGCAAACTTTCCCTTGATCCAACCCCTTTTCTTTACCCATTAAACACAAGACCGACAAGACATTGCCAACCAAATGCACTAACTCCGTACTTCGCGAGAACGGACATGTTCAAATTTTCATTTTTTCCACGCACCATTTCAGACTGGAACCAGACAATCGAATGTAGTACTTGCGATACTGAGTAACTGTGCACTGTTTTTTTGCTTTGTTTTGCGTGTATTGTATTTCTCTTTGCATTACACCATGCCCTCCTGCTTGGACCGAAGTGTGGTCCGCAGTATGTATTAAATAAATAAAAAAAAATAAATAAACGGGTTTGCAATTTTTCTTGTTACGGGGTATGCGCTAAATGTGTAGTAATGCTGCGTTGCTTTCATCCGCAGACTGCAACAACTGCCGTGCCAAACTTCCAGTGCCTAATAAATGGGAGATACAACACATGGTGAGTGCTTGTTGGCTCCGCATCATTTGTAGCTTTGTTGGCTGTGCTAAAGGAAAACTTCCAATACTATGTGTTCGATAGATCGGTATGTTACACTATACCGCGTGTCGCCAATCAGTGACGAGTTCACTGCATGCTTCTGCGCAGAGGTCAGATGGGCCTCTGTGCGCCAGTAATCTTTTCCGTAAAGGTTATATTGATTTGTTTTCTCTTAGGAGGCAATGAGGTGCTGGGGAATTCCATGTTTCTATGGTCAATGCACGTTTCTGTGGTCAGATGCAATTCCGAGGCCTGCCATAGACAAAAAAAAGGTGGTAGAAGAAAAAAATAAATGGAGCAGGGGAAGTGGTACAGATCACGCAGTGTGAAACGATGGCACTGGATGCAAGCACCGATCTTCTCTGGAGGCCGTGCCGGCTCAGTCTGGAGTGTGCGCACCTTGGTGCAGGTTTCCGTGCATCCGCCGTCGGGAATGAAATGTCAAGGACTTGTAATGCTGTATCCGACTAAAGGGACTAACAATGATTCTACCAGTCTGCATAGTAATACTGAGCAATATACTGTGCATATACCCATTCGCTGTTGCTCTGGCTGTGGTGCAGCGAGTTGTAAAGCACCGATCAGGAAAGCACAATAATAATGAGAAATAACAAATGATCATAATAAATAATTATTGTGTCTAATGAACAAACAAGCTCTTAAATTGACATTTACTGATAAGAAACGTTACATTAGAGCACGTGACTACAGCGTCCATCTCCGTTGTAGATGTCGTACTGTGTCAGGCACAAATGCCTTGTTTTCTGTTGCCTTTTGAATTGTCTTCAGCATAGTTTTTCCAACTGAGGATAGCAAAACGGTATTGATTAGAGAGATGAGTGCAGTTTGAATTCTCTCTAATGACAAATATGACACGTGGCCATGTTTATGAAGCGACAGTTTTCCATCGCGCGTCGTTTTTTTACCCGAGATAGCGAATCACTCCTAAACTCTTAGCACAGTATTTAGAGAAAAGCACTAGTGGACATGCGTGCCCCCTACTAGCTAAACACCAAAGAAGCAGTGCATATAGGCATAAGTGTAAACGCTTACATAGAAGTAACGTTTTACGTCGAGGCCAGACCTATTAGAAGAGCAGCAAAATTTAAATACTTTACAACTGTGTCAGAAGCTCATGCACGTCGGGAAACTCACTCGTGAGTTGGCTTACTCGGGCTCACTCATACTCAGATCGGGCCACCACTCTGAGTTTGAGTGAGTCTGGGTCAGTAATGTTTCTCGTTACTTTTATTCTGAGTGAGTCTTGTTGAAGAAGATATTGGTGAATTGAAGTGCGAGCGAGACCTAAGCGCAAAAGATTTTGTGCGTGAGTCTCATTCAGCTACGCCTTCTGTTACCGTCCTAGGGTCAAAAGACACTGAGGTGTTTTCTGGGCAATCCAACAGAGTAAACTTTGAGGTGTTACACTTGCCGCATTCCCAAAACGCTTACAGTGTGGGCAAGACAATTGGGAAGATACTGGTGACACACACGCTAAAACCCCCGAGAGTGACACACTCGCCCTTTTTGCGCGAATCAGGACCGCAGCTCAAGAGAACTGAGATGCTTGATACTGCGAGGCAGCCTTGCAACCTGCAACACAGTCGTGTCGTGTGGATGGATCTTGTTCATTTTGAAAGGTCAAGACTACTATAATAAACTTTCGTTAATTAAAAGGTAGCGCACGTCTTCGTTGCTCTATCTGTGCCGTAGTTTCCCTTGGGCCGTGATCACTATGAAATAAAATACCAACGAGCCCATACACGTACATGACTTTTTTTCACCAGAACACCTAATGCGGTGAAATGCATGGGCGTTCAAAAGTCATGAACATTTTTCGTGAATCTTCATGACTGGAAGTGTTTGACTGAGCCCTTGGCTCTCTGAAGCTGCTGTCGAAATTCGAATAAAGCACACCGACATTGCCAAGTTTTGATTAACCTGGCTCTGCGTGCTGGCGGTCAACGCCTGTGGCCACAAAGGGCGCAGTCGAGACAGGTTGCTCACGAACCATCCGCGCAAGTACTAGCTTCAACATTCAGACACTGCTTGCAGGTGAATTATAAGTGCGTATGTGGCGTGAGCTACCCGTTTGCTGTGGCACCACGGGCGCCTACCCTGTGCTTATGGAAAAGAGGAACCCCCCACTAACTCAAGTGGCGTGGCCTAGGTGTACATGGTAACAGAATGTAATAGTGCACATGCCAAGTTCAGTTTGCCTAAATGCTAGAAGAGTATTCATGTCATGTAGGAATGTTTACGCAACACATTTTGTCATTTTGCATCCATGCTTTGCAGTAAAAGGAAACTGCCATGTCCTTTGTGACCGAAGTTTTTACCCCATTTTCAGACTTGTATTGAGTGTGTTGGCATTACTTGCTTTGTTTACTAAAAGCAAAGCTATTGTAGGTTACAGCAGTCATTGAAAACACATTCTATTTGAATTCTATGGCGTTACCCTTAGTAAGCGGTAATATATTAGAGTTAACGAGCACGATGTGTTGATGTTGTTCAGAGATGTCAGGTATTCTATTGACGAGCTGACGAAATTGTTTTCTATTAAGATAAAATACTGTTTGTATGCCTTGACCTTACCCCAAGAAGTGCAACGAAGCTCACTCGTTACACTTCGCCAACTCCTTTTTCAATGCAGTTCAGCGTCGAAAAGTTTCTGGACAGCGGGGAGTTCACAGATTTCGAGTTCCGAGTGAAGCCCGAGAACTATCCCGACATTGCCGAACGGAAGTTTCATGTGCACAAACAGTTCCTCGCCATGAGAAACGAAGTGTTCTACGCGATGTTTTTTGGAGACTTGGCCGAGCAAACCGAAGTGGTCGTCACTGACGTACATCCAGACGGCTTTGATTTGCTGCTCAGGTAAGACAATGGTCGTGGTGTGTCAGCTGCAGCGTTCTGCAGGGAGTTCGGTATAAGGTTGCATCAGCATCAATACGACTGCGCAGAAAAATGCTCTTCCAGGAAAACTTGTCCCGCTCAGCGTCGAGTACACAATAAAGACATTAAAGAACGCCAAGTGGTCGTGGTTGCGACGTGTTCAATTCGGGATCTAACTAAAATAATAACTGAAGAAATGCATTAAAATGAACGAAGTGAATTAGCAATTGTAATTGCTAGTGACATATTTGATACAAGCTCTAAATCAGCTCTGGCTTGAGGCAGAAGTGCACGCCTGAAATGAGTATGTTCGTGACACAACGCACAGTAAAGATAACAAATAATAAACATGAGGCATCGCCCAGCATAAGTCACTGTTTGAGAAAACACATAAATTTCCTCCCCCATAGATAAGTCTCTCTAGTGTCTTTTTCATTGATCTTTGAATCCTATACATTCACACAAATTGGGTCTTTCTTTTTGTCCGCATGTCAGCGCTTCTTTTATTTGTTGTTCGTAAAGTCCCTGCTGTTGCTTAAACATGATGAATTGTGGTCGATGTGTTAACATTACGCAACTTGCCTTGCGAAGCTACCTGTCCATGAAGTGTCCTTCTGATCAACCTTTCAATTCGTCCACTCAGGTTCTTCTACTCCGGTAAGCCCAAGATAAAAAGCATCAACGACGCGCTGCACGCGAGGTTCGCTGCCAGGAAGTACCTGGTTCAGGGGCTCAAAGAGGCTTGCAGTGACTACATAGCGACAAATCTCAAGGCTGATGGGCTGTGCTCTTTCATAGACTACTACATGCAAAGCCGCGAGCCAGAAATGGACGCCATCGTGGATTCACTCCTGATGTCCAGTGGCCCGGCCATCCTCACCTCGAAGAAGTTCAACTTTGCCCTCGAGGAAACTGTTCGGTACATCGTGGATAAAATCAGGAAGGTTCCTGAAGATAGCTTGATTAGAGCAGTGTTCGGCTGGGCCCAGGAACAGTGCGTCAAAAGTCTGCAGTCGGACACCCCGATCGAAATCAAGGCACTCATGCGCTCTTTCTTTCCCAAGCTGCGTTTCTTGACCATGACAGCAGAAGAGTTCGTAATGGGACTCAGTACCTGGGGTCTGCTCAACGACGCCGAGAATCTTGCAATACTTCGCAATATCGTAAAGAGGGGATCTCAGCCGCTGCCGGAAGGGTTCTGCAATGACACCACCGGTCGCTTCTAATCATGCAAGCAGTGATACTCTCCATGTCACACAGGAACGTGTGGAAGCGGTTTAACTTTTCGTGGTTTCTCTATATATGCTACTGGCGATTACGGCCACGCAGTTCTATTGAGCACAAGTTGATGTTTATTATGTTTAGCTGCGGGTCAATAAAGTTTTGTTTATTAAGGATCTGCTGATCTGCTAACGTCAGTGTGTGTGTGTTTCTTTCTGTCATTCGGCAGAAGTCCTACAACTTCAAATATTGCGATTTTCTGGAACCACCTTGCATAGGCACTAGGAGTGTGCACGCGCAGAGTGAATTTTGGAACTGAATCGAATATATGTGACAACGAATCTAGTACAAATATTAATCAAATTTTTTTTCGAATAACACTGCAACAGTAAGTAGACCATTTCCAATGTATTGAAGACCACAACGTTTTATTTGAAACAAGTATTCACAAACTTTTACCAAAGGATTTTGCAGCCAGTCTTAATCGACTCAAAGTATCAGGAATTACGAGAACTAAGGTGAGCTATACAGCAGGGACTAGAGCCATAGTAATTTTTTGTAACTGCACGTTCAAAGACTGCTTTCACTGATGTTATCAGCCTGAGATTTTGTCGCCTTATTACAAAGTTGGTAAAAACTAATGAATTTTGAGCCAAACATCGCTAATGCAGCTGAAAATGTACGGAGCAGATCAACCTGTCATTACAACATGGCCTGACCTCTTTTCAACGACCAACTCGTCAATCAATACACATAATGTGACGTTGGTGCGTTTCTGCGCTACTCTCGACTCGCTGTCCAGCGTGGCACAAGGACTTTTTCCAAGATGGTTTCAAGCAGCGGCATGGTGCTGTGGTAGATGACCTCAGTACCACACAGCGCGCCTGGCCTTGATCCCGGCTATAATTCTAATATTTCTTAGTGTTAGCATTATACACCCCACGTTTTTCAGCAAGAGCCGTCATGAGATCGAAAGAACATCCGGTTTTGATGGAGTAGTTGTGTGCCACCACCACTGATGCCCGAAACTGGTATTCCATCCAAACAAAAAAAAAATATTTGAAATAGAGCGTGATTTCAAACAACCCTCTGCTTGGCAGTCCAGTACACTACCACAGATCCACACCAGTGCTTGAAACCGCGGAAAGGACACCGTACCCGTGTCATGTGGAGCAAAGTAGCACCTTAACATTGGAACAATATAGCGTGAAGGAAGAAAAAAAACATTTAAACGTCTCACCACACTAACGGCGTAACGAGTGTGCGGTTCGAAGTTTCCGCACCCATTACAGAGGGCGGCCATAATTCTTCATCGTCATGCGTCGCAGCATTAGAAAAGGGCACATAATGTCTTGCATATGTGCAACTGGTGCTCCACCTCACCGCAGAATGGTAAGTAATGGCACATTTTTGCTTCCCCTCTTTCTTGTCCCTATTTCCCCGCCCCCAGCGCTGGGTAGCAAACCAGATGCCAATATCCGGTTAACCTCCCGGCCTTTCCTTTCTCGCTCTCTCTCTATCTTGCTTCTCTAATCTGTAAAATTACGATGATCTGGCGTGCGGGGTACCGTGCTACAGTATTCGTGGTGATCGCCTGAATAGTGTTTCCAAAGTCATAACAAAGGCCTAGTTTTCCCAGCGACTGTGCTGCATGTTCTGTGTAGGCCTAGTGTTTTTTTTTTTTTTGATAAAGAAAAAGCTTAAGCCTTCAAACTGAATATTCGTATCCCCCGTAATGGGTATGAGCCACCTGCGCCACGAAGAACAAACATTCCTGGACGCCACGCCGCATGGGCGCCGCGGGCGATGTCGCCTGTGCGGAGCGACTGCGGCCGCCTTCTCACCTTTTGTACGTTCGCCTTCCAGGTGAGCTTGCATTATCCAAGTTCAATAGGCGCCCCGTTACCGTTTGAACGAACTTATGCTACTCTCTGTCAACTACAGGAAGTTACTGTTGCATACGTGACGTGCGTTGTTGCAATAGTACAGTAGGCTCCGCTGTATACTAGTCATTTCAGAAGGTGTGAAGTATCACAGGCGCGGACGCACAGCACGAAGACGCCCGCATACCGAGGGCTCGCAATGACCGAGCAGTTCAATTGCTGTAAGTTCGCAAATGCAGGAAAGGCATCTTGACAGTTTTATCAAGTTGGTAAATAACGTCCTATGCGTAAAGCTGATGACATCAGATGCATTAATAACTGCAAACGTAGGCAAAACACGTTACCAAAGTCGAGGGATAGTAGCTTGCCAGTTATTTATTTATTTATTAGAATACCCGCAGGGCCCGTAGGGCATTACAGAGGGGGTGGGTACAACATTTATAACACACAAGAAAAAAAAGACAAAATAAAGAAACAAGTGTCAGATGCGCAAATCAGGAAGGCAACATAAGTCAACTAAAAATGTATAAGAATTCAAGCACATACAAGACAAAGATAGATAATGGAAACTGCGTATAGTTACAAGCATTGCTGAGAAATTGCAGTCTTGAATAACAAAGGGTCTGTTATTGTTACAACGGAAGAGGGAAGGTGGTTCCAATCGGCGGCTGTTTTCGGTAAGAAGGCTGCTGAAAAGAATTTGGTGCGGCAAAACGGAATGGCAACCTTATGCTGGTGATCAATGCGCGATGAGTGGTATGACGGTTGTGAAATGAGGTCTCGCTTCATTGATGGATTGTGAAAAAATATCTTATGAGAAAAATGCAGTCGCGCCAGTTTCCTCCGGACAGTTAAATTGGGTAGGTCAAGGTTAGATTTCATTTCTGATATGCTAGCAGTACGGGAATAATTAGAACAAATGAACCGAACTGAGCGGTTCTGAACAGATTCTAACGCGTTAATTAAATTTTGCTGCACGGGATCCCATATAGCGGACGCGTACTCAAGCTTTGGGCGAATTAGTGATCGGTATAATAGAATTTTGAGGGACAGCGGAGCGCGAGAAAAGTTGCGGCGTAAGTATCCTAGCGTTCGGTTAGCGTTATTACAGATGTAGGTAACATGCGTGTGCCAAGATAGATTGTTGGTAATGTAAACGCCGAGGTACTTATATGAAGAGACATGCTGGAGGGGAACGGCGTTAATTTTGTAGGTACAGGGGGGAGAAATAGATCGCCGGGTTATTGACATGCATTTAGATTTGTTAGAGTTGAGAGTCATAAGCCATTTATTGTACCAGGTTGAGACAGTGTCAAGGTCTGACTGTAGAAATTGGTTATCATATTCATTGTTTATTTCGTGGTAAATTACACAATCATCTGCAAATAACCTTATAGCGGAGTTAATGCTGTCTGGGGGATCATTAATATATATAAGGAAAAGTAAAGGGCCTAATACGGAACCTTGGGGTACGCCCCAAGGTTCCGTATCTACCAATCTTCGCCTTTATTATGAGCCTTGCCTGTATTCTCGTTTATACTCGCGTCTGCTCACAAATATTCGAAAGCAGTATCGTTCATACGCCATTTCGACTATAATTCACGACAGGCATACATTACACACGGGGGATACCTTTTACCTCCCCCCCCCCCCTGGCGCCACGAACTTATGTTATCATTTCTTTCAAGAAAAGAAATGTACTTGCTGGTTTGGAACCACCCGTAACCAGTATTGGAAAGTACTATATGAAAAGGTGCCAAGAAGGGCACCGTTGATACTGAAGTGAAAACCATTGACATTATGCTCGAAAAAGCTAATTTATACTTCCGGATTCATGGGTCAACTCACTGGGACTCGATCCGACTCGGATTAAGCCGTGGGTTGGTATCTGAGTGAGTCCGGTTTAAGAAAATTTCGGAGCTTGGGTTCCCAGTGAGTCCGACTCGGGAAGATTTTAAGAGGGTCCGAGTGAGTCGGTTGTTTAGTCAGTCTGAGTGAATTTCACAATTTTTACCGTCCTATGTAGCTTGGTGAAATATCTCGTGCAGTACAACCAGCTTACTATTTCCAATAGGGGCAGTTGTCCCGCGAGTTTGGAAGGTCAGCAGGTTCGAAAAAATGATGTCTTAACATCGTTTAAAAATTAAGCTTAAAGTGTTAATGCTGAAATCATGACGTAACATACTTTTATTGTGAGACCAGTAGTAATAAAAAAATAGGTTTAGCACGCGTCTCGAGCGGCCGTGAATATGGAGAAAAGAGATTTCGTTAATGGAGAACAAAACACTCTACATGTGCAGAGAAAAAAAATCGCGAGTTGTAAGGGTGATAGGGGCGTGCCGCCGCCGTAGTTTCAAACGACGGATACTAACAAGACAGAGCCGAGAATATGCAAAGAATAAAGTCTAACTTCAAAGCAACATATTCTGTATAAGGACATAATTGCAGTACGTGCGTTTCTTATAAATATACCTTGACACTATTGTTCAATCCGAAGAACTGACTCGATTGGGAAGCCAGGAAAAAGCACGCCCGGGCTGTGTCCCGTCCACTCGATTTTTATTATTATTGTTTTTCATTGTGTAACAAGCACTAAATGCATTCACGACATTTGCTGTGCCGGCCCTGACAAATCAAGGAAGTACTCGCTCTTCCCACCAAAAATTTCTGTCTACGCTCTTGCACTTGCGCACTAACGTTTGAAGTTTGAAAAACAGAATATTGACGAAAATTTGCTCTACTTTCGGAAAAAAGCGCAATTCTATTCTCATCCTATACCACTCGAAAGGCGCCTAATTAAGTTTCCATTCCATTCCTGCAAGCTTTCTGCTAATTTTATTCCAGGGTCCCGAAAATGTAGAATGTGAGTCACTTCAATTCCGGAGTGGCAGCTCCGCAGCAGTAGAATGGGCAAAGTTTATTCACTCCGAAGAACTGGAAGAAGTGGAAGCGCGGCAAGTTCATATTCCCCAGAATGGAACTGGAATGGAATGTAGGCGCCCAATACGAAGCACTGTAACCGACGGAAACCCGAGAAAAGTATAAAGCATAGCAATACTTAGTGCTCGTAACAAAACCTCAAGGAGGAAAAGCTTGGAATGACTAACAAATAAGATTTTAGGTCGAACACTACCTACGCTGTAGGTTCCACGCGTATATAGGTAAACTTAGATATAAGGAAACTGATCCATTCTCAGAAATATTCGTTATAAAGAGGATTGTGTTATACACAGGTTTGGCCAAAATTTTCGAAAAATAAACTGCATAAGATAACATCTCCCACTTGTTAGAGTCACTGCTGTCGAATGCTCAAA